AGGCGTACAAACTCAAAGACAGCGCACTATCAGAGTATTGAGAGCTCGGGTAAGCATTTATACTGAGACCTCCTTACCAGTGGCAAAATATAGTAATAGGTTTTTGCCCTTTCAACTGGTACAAAAACTGACACCTTTATACAAGGCATCATGTTTGCAATAACCACAACACAAGCAGTCAAGATGCAGCAAAAAGAAACAACTCTGATGATGATAATGATATGCACTGTCCTTGAAGTTGATTGGTCCACACCCAACAAAAGCTGTCTTGGGCGACGTTATTACACGCTTTTATTTAACTCACTGTCTGTTGTTGTTGTATCCTCAAATATTGTAACTCAATTTTAACCCACATCCCAATGTGGTATCGACTGAAAATTGGTACACTTATGTCATACTGATGACTACTATTTTCTATCATAAAAATATAATAAAACATTTTAAACAATATTTTTACACGCTTTCTATTAACTCACTCTGTGTGTTGTTGTTGTATCCTCAAATATTGTAACTCAATTTTAACCCACTTCCCAATGTGGTATCGACTGAAAACGTGGTATACTTATGTCATACTGATGACAATGCTATATTCTATCATTAAATAAAAAAATAAAATTTAAACAATCTTTTTTATATGTTATGTTTCGGCTTGGGTCTAATTGTCCATGCTCAACTGACGTTGGCTGTAAAACCACGGCCCCTACGTTATTATGGCAAGTTTCGGGGCCACTTCCTGGAGTTTTGCCATTACGAGTACGGTACATTTCATTAAAAGCGTGTTTTTAAAAACGTATTTTTTAATATTATTTGTTTGTTTACGTGGCAGTAGCAGAGGCTCGTTCTCGCAGCCTGTGGTGGCCGCTGCTGTGAGCACGGCAAATTGTGTTGTAGGCAGCCACTTAACAAACAAACAAAAACGTGGCTTTTTAAATCCTTTATATTAAGTTCGCTTGCTTGCTTACGACCGTGCAAATCTTTCGGTCGTTTTTTAACCCACTTCCCGTGATCCAATCGAGCTGACATTTTCCACACAGACTCGTTGTGCGTGACAATTAATGTTCGTGAAAAAATTTTTCCAAAATTTTACACTTTTTAGGACAAAAATATTATATTTAATTACCAATTGCTTAATGGTGCAATGCAATCATCTGACCCATAGGTGGCAGCCATCTCAAGCCAGAGGACGAGAGGACTCTAGCCGCCACGCATATAAAGGATTTATAGTGAAAAACTTTGTTTTTACGGGTTATACTTGTTATTCATTCCTTTTTCCTAGAGATATTTCAGCCGGACCCAAATGCACCCGTGCTTCCCCTAAGCCCCTGGGGGTGTGTGCCGATGCAGGGGCTTTGACTCGAGCGAGGCGGTGGAGGAGGCAACGGAGCACAGCTGCCTGGAGCCGCAGGCAGTGGCAGCATGGACTCATCGCCAGGTGAGGAACTTGCCCCTGGCCAGAGCAGGTGAGCGTGTCGCCCGGTTTGCCAGGTGAGGGTGGTGGTGGTGGTGGTGGTGATGGTGATGGGGTACAATTGCAGTGTGGATCGTAGGGTGTCGTCGGGACACTGTCAGTGCTGGATGAAGCTAAGTGCGGGGCCTGTAGCATGATCTTCTTGGTTCTTTCGGTAAAGTCACGTAGAATGGAAATAATGTCGACAGACCAGCTCTCCACCTGAGGACGGCTGCTTGCGTTGTGGCCGGAACGTCGTGAGAATTATTATATTATGTTTTATTTCTATTTTTATTATTTCCATCTACGTGACTTTACCGAAAGAACCAAGAAGATGAATCCCTGCAGTCACGGAAGCTTTAAATCGAAATCTGTAGAATGATGTTATAAAGGGGCCGTAAATGAAATAAAACACGTAATATTAAAACACATAAATGTTTACTTGCACAGTAAAGTAATTGTATTTTATCATTTGCGATACAACCGGATAATACGACACATCGCTAGCCTTAAACATCCAGTCGTTCATGAAAGTTGAAGGCGGTATAGTACTATAGTAATAGAGCAAGTGCAGAATCACTGAACCGGAATTGATAGCTTGGAAGCATTTAACGCGGGGCCCTTGAAAGTGCGGGCCCCGTAGCTACATGTATAACGGGTTCCGGAGACACTTGTAGAGGTAACTTCTTTATTACCATCCAACAGTCTAACAGTCCAATTACTCTGTTACAGCCTAGGTACACAGCCTAGATACACTACTCTGGCTACGCTCTGGAACTCGCCCTCACAAGGACGTAGAGCCGGGAGTTCCAGAGTCTCACCACTGGCCCTCACAGCGTCCCAGGGTCCTCAGATGGCTGGTCTTGGGTGGGTCTTGAGCTACAACTGGCCCTGATCGTCCAGGGAGCTCCCCTTTTATACCTAGTCCCCAACGAGGGGTGGGGCCGTGTGCGCCCCCAGATATCCCACAGAGCACACACAGCCCCCCCGTTGGTGGCGCCAAGCGGCTTAAGCGCCTGGGAACCCAACGCCTGGCGCCAAGAGGCTTAAGCGTCTGGGCCGCCTGGGAACCCAACGCCTGGCGCCAAGCGGCTTAAGCGCCTGGGCCGCCGGGAACCCAACGCCCGGCGCCAAGAGGCTTAAGCGTCTGGGCCGCCTGGGAACCCAACGCCTGGCGCCAAGCGGCTTAAGCGTTCTGGGCCGCCTGGAACCCAACGCCTGGCGCCAAGCGGCTTAAGCGCCTGGGCCCCGCCCGGGAACCAACGCCCGGCGCCAAGAGGCTTAAGCGTCTGGGCCGCCTGGGAACCCAACGCCTGGCCGCCAAGCGGCTTAAGCGTCTGGGCCGCCTGGGAACCCAACGCCTGTGCGCCAAGAGGCTTAAGCGCCTGGGCCGCCCAGGAACCCAGCGCCCGGCGCCAAGGGGCCAAGCGCCTGGGCCGCCCAGGGTCCCAGAGCCCCCCAGCAGCCCCTCCCCTCCCATGTCCACTACACATGTGTAGCTACTTGTGCTACGAGGATAATCCACCACTGGACACTGGCACCTAAAGGGGGAAATATGCACGTGAAAATATCTGTTGGAGGATATTCTTATAACACGCTTTTATTTAACTCTGTCTCTCTGTTGTTGTTGTATCCTCAAATCTTGTAACTCAATTTAACCACTTCCCAATGTGGTATCGACTGCAAACTTGGTATACTTAGTCATTGCTGATGACAACACTATATTCTATCATTAAAATAAAAAATATATTTTTAACCATCTTTTTTATATGTTATGTTTCGGCTTGGGTCTAATTGTCCACACTCAACTGACGTTGGTTGTAAATCACCACGGTTCCTTACGTTATGGCAAGCTTCGGGGCCACTTCCTGGAGGTCGTGGAGTTCTTCCATAATTTATTTTTTAATATCACTTATTTTGTGAAGATTTTTCCGAAGACAAACATTAATTGTATCTATGGGACCCTGTTTGCCAGTGGTCAAGATGATGGGTGTTAAGATGTTCAAACGCTGTTAATTTGTCCCAAGTCTGCAGTAGGCTACACGGGGTATATTTGTCTGTGTGATGTCGAGTGACGATGCCGTCCCCGTTACAGAGAGACGCACGGTATCTGGGACAGGAGTCGAACCGAGACCGGACCCCGCACGGCTCCCCAGAGTGTGAGTGCACTGCTGTGTAAACGTACAGACGCAGACACACACACAGGTACAACAACAACCGCCATTCGCCACTAAGTGGCGGTGACGTCACCATCGACGCTTGTGCCAGGCCATGTGCACCTTGAGGCCACGTGAAGTGTCGAACGCCCGCTGGCAGGTCACGGGGCAGACCCAGCAGGTGCCACGGGTCGACTGACCGAGATGGGTACACACAACAACAACCGCCATTCGCCACTAAGTGCGGTGACGTCACCATCGACGCTTGTGCCAGGCCAAGTGCACCTTGAGGCTACCACGTGAAGTGTCGAACGCCCGCTGGCAGGAGGTCACGGGGCAGACCCAGCAGGTGCCACGGGTCGACTGACTGAGATGACCGAGATGACTGGCTGATGCACCACCTGTGCCCCCTACTGTGCCAACTCACTTACACACACACTCACTCACACACACACTCACACAGACACTCCACACACACTCCCACTCAACAACAACAATCGCCATTCTCCACTAAGTGGCGGTGACGTCACCACGACGCTTGTGCCAGGCCAAGTGCACCTTGAGGCCACTGTGAAGTGTCGAACGCCTGCTGGCAGGAGGTCACGGGGCAGACCCAGCAGGTGCCACGGGTCGACTGACCGAGATGGGTACACACACAAACACAGGTACACACACACACACAAAGACCCCCGTATAGCCTTAACAGACTGTAGGGGCAAGTGCTGTTAGTGAGCATCTATGAAGGCCGGCACAGTACACGAGCGGGTGGCCAACACCACGCCCGGCCGCCTTTGTCTCCCTAGTGACGATGTTTACACATCGCACCAGGTACTTATTTGAGGCTGAGTCGACCTAGGGAGGCCCAGGACCGGTTTGTCACTGATGTTGGCCATGAGCGGGAATGGAACCCGAGTTGCCAGGTTCGTAGCGCAGCGCGCTAACCGCTACACCACCGCTCCCCACACACACAGGTACACACATACACAGGTACACACACACACAGGTACACACACACAGGTACACACACACAGGTACACACACACACAGGTACACATACACAGGCACACACACACAGGTACACACACACAGGTACACACATACACAGGTACACACACACAGGTACACACACACACAGGTACACACATACACACACACAGGTACACACACACACAGATACACACACAGGTACACACACACAGGTACACACACACAGGTACACACACAGGTACACACACACACAGGTACACATACACAGGTACACACACACAGGTACACACACACAGGTGCACACCACACAGGTACCACACACACAGGTACACACACACAGGTGCACACACACAGGTACACACACACAGGTACACACACAGGTACACACACACAGGTACACACACACACAGGTACACAACAACCGCCATTCGCCACTAAGTGGCGGTGACGGTCACCACGATGCTTGTGCCAGGCCAAGTGCACCTTGAGGCCACGTGAAGTGTCGAACGCCCGCTGGCAGGAGGTCACGGGGCAGACCCAGGTGCCACGGGTCGACTGACCGAGATGACCGAGATGACTGGCTGATGCACCACCTGTGCCCCCTACTGTGCCAACTTGCTGTGCTTTAGCCACCCGGCGCTCCGCTCGTTGTTGTGAGCGTCGCTCCTCTGCCCTCCGTTGTTGCTGGAGGGCGACTGCCTCCAACTGCCCAGTAGGTTTTTTTCCGGGTGCGCCGGTTTCCTACTCCCACATGGTAACATCTTCATATGCAGAGGACGGCAAATCTTGGGGGGCATGGTGGAAGTTGCCACCGGCTTACTGCCTGGCTGCTGCCTTTCTGAGTCTTCTGTGGTGCTTAGCACCTCTGAGCCATCCTCTCTTTGAAGATTGCGGTGGCCGTTACAGGTTCACACGATTACGTGACAAACCTCACTGATTAGCTGTGTCGGGTGGCGATGGGTTTAAAGACATTTATATTTACGCGATCTAACCCCAAAACAACCTCCATTTTGGATCATGTTGGTGGCAAAAGCCTACGTGTTAAAGTTAAAATGTTTCTTATAAATGGGTGGATTGAGCATATATGTTCTAACCTCTCTATTTGTGTGGACGTGTATGTGTACACTCAGTGCCGAGGAGCAACCTGTAAGAATGGGAAGCTTCGTGTCGTCCCCAGCTTCAGTCACACCACATGACAGGCACATGGACACACACCGGGTTTCCAATTGGACGTAGAACCTCCTCCGCTTATCTAGAGACTTCAATGTCACAGCTATCAGAGTGATTTTCATCGTAAAGGGTCGAGTCAGCGCCTCATTCTGACCGCAAGGAATCAGGGACTGTGGTATTGATGAGCTGTGTATGACCCACGGCCTTTGATCTACGATGAAAACAAGCGTGATCGAAAATTGTTCACGACGCTAATCGTATATCTCTTTCTCTAGTATTTCTCCGCATTCCTCTAATTTTGCTGGACAAATACGATGCAATTTGCATTGTATTTGAGAGTCAGCAAGAGTTTTGTAACATTAACAAAAATTCAACTCACATGTAAGGGACAAATGGGGTCTTTGGCTGGGGTGTGGGTGGTGAGTGGTTAAACTGTGAAATTAAATAAGACATTTCTCGGGTGATAAAAATATTTCTCATTCGATGCATCCCAAATGCATCTTTCATTGTACTGCTCCAAGAGGGGCTCTGGTCGTCATCATGAAGCCGCCCCACCGCTACCCACACTTTCCCCACCCGCCCTCGTACCTCTGCAGTGCACGTACTCCACTACCCATTTTCTACACAGAAAGGCTTGGGGCCTAAAGAGGAAGGAGCGAGGCCTACACAACAAGGCTTGGGGCCTCTAGAGGAACGGGCGAGGCCTACACAACAAGGCTTGGGGCCTCTAGAGGAACGGGCGAGGCCTACACAACAAGGCTTGGGGCCTCTAGAGGAACGGGCGAGGCCTACACAACAAGGCTTGGGGCCTCTAGAGGAACGGGCGAGGCCTACACAACAAGGCTTGGGGCCTCTAGAGGAACGGGCGAGGCCTACACAACAAGGCTTGGGGCCTCTAGAGGAACGGGCGAGGCCTACACAGAAAGACTTGGGGCATAAAGAATAACGAGCGAGGCCTACACAACAAGGCTTGGGGCCTCTAGAGGAACGGGCGAGGCCTACACAGAAAGACTTGGGGCATAAAGAATAACGAGCGAGGCCTACACAACAAGGCTTGGGGCCTCTAGAGGAACGGGCGAGGCCTAGAGAGAAAGGTGTGGGGCCTGAAGAGGAAGGGGGAGGGGGCAGGGATAATAACTCAAATCTGCGTAATCCTGAATAAGCAAATGTTTTAGAATAGTAGATGAAAACAAAAAAAATCATATCATTACTGACGCATATATAAACGTCACCAGTGGTATAGACATATTAATTCAGTGTTCTTGATATTGTTATTTTGTATGATGCGTGTATGATTACCGCACGGTTAGTATTGATACTGGCGTTGTCAGGATGCTTCTGTGTCGCTAGCAAGAGGCATCTCGCTTACATTGTGCCTTTTCTTACCAAATGTGATTTTTGCTGAGGCTAGAAAGTAGACCGTGCAACACCGTTTGTCTGTAAAATACTCTGTAGACAAGGTTTTTAATAAAGACAGTCGTAGTTTGGACTTAATAATGCTCTGACAGTGTCCTTTATTTCACCGGGCAAGGTCCTGAAGGCTCTTTTCAGCAAAGGTCCTGCTTGGGATGTTTGGCCAATGACTTGAGTGTGTGCTTGCGAGAGTGCCCGGAGAAAGCCTTCACATGCGAGGAGATAGGCTTTTGAGCAAATATTTATTTTTATGATCGGCCAAAAAAAAAAACAATGCAATTTTTTTAAATTTTACCAGGCAAGGCCCACTGAGCGGTACAGCTCTTTTTAAAAAGCGACATGGCCATAAATTATAGCTCAACTAAGTGGCTTATCAAGTGGACATTTATATAAGCAGCCAAATACTTTAAATGCGTGTTGTTGATTCTAAATGTGGAGGGGAAAACCGGAGGACCCGGAGAAAAAATCCACGCGACCACAGGGAAAAGAGAGACACAAACTCCAAATATACAGCAGCAGGCGTCAGGGTCAGGATCGAACCCACGACCTCCTGCACACCAGGCGAGGGAGTTAACATCTCCTAGTCACGGTGATGATGATGAGAGAGAGACACGCAAACTCCAAATACACAGCAGCAGCAGGCGTCAGGATCAGGATCGAACCCACGACCTCCTGCACACCAGGCGAGAGAGTTAACATCTCACCCTCGAGTCCCTGAGCACCCCCTTCAGCTGTTGGCCATCGTCTTTACTTCCACATCACCGTGTCGGCGAGTGACTAGTCATCCCGTTGAGCAATCTGCCAATCACTTGATCCTCCGGGTCATCCCCATCACTCGCCTACTCTTGACAGCCACTAGTCAATGCTGCAAACTCAGTCGCCCCGACCCCTCCCCCCGCCCACCCGAGCCGCTAGTCGCCCTCGCGGGCGTTGGCGGGCAAGGCGTTGACGGGCAAGGCGTTGACGAGGCGGCTCTCCAAGTGCTCCAGCACGGTGTGGGGGTCTCTGTCGGCGTTGACGAGGACGGCGCGCGGATGCAGGAGCCGAGCGGGTGCCACCAGCGAGCGGAACTCGCGCAGGCGCTCGCGTACCTCGGCCTCCGAGTCGCGCGGGTGCTGGCGGCAGCGGGCCCAGACGGCGCCGTCTGGGGCCGGGCGGAATATCTCGTGGTACCTGCACGCGACCACCGTGACCGCGACGGCGGCGATGCACCGCGGGTTAAAGGGCACGACGCCCGTTGTTATTTTTTTACGGGGTTCAAGGGTGAGGCGCAACTACTCGCGTGGTGCGCAGACTACCGCGCGTACGAACCGCGCCGTCGGCTACGTACGGTGCGAAAGAAGTTCAACATACATCCTGCCCATAGACTAACAATGCCCATATACTCAACACTGCCCATAGACTAACACTACCCATAGACTCAACACTGCCCATAGACTCACACTACCCATAGGCTTCCACTTCCCATAGACTCAACACTGCCCATAGACTCAACACTGGCCCATAGACTCAACACTACACCATAGACTCAACACTGCCCATAGACTCAACACTGCCATAGACTCAACACTGCCCATAGACTCAACACTACCCATAGGCTTCCACTTCCATAGACTCAACACTGCCCATAGACTCAACACTACCCATAGACTCAACACTACCCTAGACTCAACACTGCCCATAGACTCAACACTACCACAGACTCAACACTGCCCATAGACTCAACACTGCCCATAGACTCAACACTGCCCATAGACTCAACACTGCCCATAGACTCAACACTGCCCATAGACTCAACACTGCCCATAGACTCAACACTGCCCACAGACTCAACACTACCCACAGACTCAACACTACCCATAGACTCAACACTACCCATAGACTCAACACTACCCATAGACTCAACACTGCCATAGACTCAACACTACCCACAGACTCAACACTGCCCATAGACTTCCACTACCCAAAGACTCAACACTACCCACAGACTCAACACTGCCAATAGACTCAACACTACCACACTCAACACTGCCAATAGACTCAACACTACCCACAGACTCAACACTGCCCATAGACATCCACTACCCAAAGACTCAACACTGCACCTCCGATTAGCACGGTTGGCTACGTACGGTGTGAAAGAGGTTCAACACACACGCGTACAGACTACCTCGCGTGCCATAGACCCCGCTGGCGGCCCACGCCCGCACGTCAGCCCATTTCACGCGACTGGCCAAAACATTCCCAACCCAGCGCCTCGTCCTGAGAGGGAGTCCCGGACTCGGTGAACCTCTCCCCGGAGTCAACAGCGGGAGGCCCGTGGTTGTTCGTTGTGCGGCGCGCGTACCGCTCGCCCGTCACGGGGTCCGTCTTCCGCAGCGACGTGCGCTCCACGGCCGTGTCGTCCGGCACGTCGAGGATGAACACCCTGGGTAGTTAAGCACAAACACAAAGACACAAACGCAAAGACACAAACTCAAATAAACAGCACGAAGGTACACGACTCACGATTGTGACTTTCACACAGCGTCTGCATGCGAGCGCGCATATAAAGAGGCCGCACAGAAGTAGCGGGCGTAATAGTTTGGTCTACGGATCACTGTGTGAGTCCGTGTTTATCTAAGTGAGGCGCTGGGTGTCTGTGAGGCTATGGATCTCGGTGTGAGTCGATGGGTCTCTTGTGTGGAAAGCCTCGCTGAGTCCCGCAGACTCTTTTCAAGAGGGTCCTGCCAACTTTTCACACGGTTGAGTTTTTCGCAACTGAGTCATCGGCGAGTAACGTTTGTGGGCTGCGGGGCTGTTGGGTTGTCAGCTGCGGGCTGTTAGCTGTGGGTTGCGGGCTGTTAGCTGTTGGCTGTGGGCTATGGGTGGTGGGCTGGGGGCTGTTGGCTGTTAGCTGTGGGCTGTAGATGATGGGCGGTTGGCTGTGGGTTGCGGGCTGTTAGCTGTTGGCTGTGGGCTATGGGTGGTGGGCCTGGGGGCTGTTGGCTGTTAGCTGTGGGCTGTAGATGATGGGCGGTTGGCTGTGGGCTGTTAGCTGTGGGCTGTGGGCTATGGGTGGTTGGCTGTTAGCTGTGGGTTGCGGGCTATGGGTGGTTGGCTGTTAGCTGTGGGTTGCGGCTATGGGTGGTTGCTGTTAGCTGTGGGTTGTGGGCTATGGGTGGTTGGCTGTTAGCTGTGGGTTGTGGGCTATGGGTGGTTGGCTGTTAGCTGTGGGTTGTGGGCTATGGGTGGTTGGCTGTTAGCTGTGGGTTGTGGGCTATGGGTGGTTGGCTGTTAGCTGTGGGTTGTGGGCTATGGGTGGTTGGCTGTTAGCTGTGGTTGTGGGCTATGGGTGGTTGGCTGTTAGCTGTGGGTTGTGGGCTATGGGTGGTTGGCTGTTAGCTGTGGGTTGTGGGCTATGGGTGGTTGGCTGTTAGCTGTGGGTTGTGGGCTATGGGTGGTTGGCTGTTAGCTGTGGGTTGTGGGCTATGGGTGGTTGGCTGTTAGCTGTGGGTTGTGGGCTATGGGTGGTTGGCTGTTAGCTGTGGGTGGTGGGCTATGGGTGGTGGGCTGTGGGTGGTGGGCTGTGGGTGGTGGGCTGTGGGTTGTGGGCTATGGGTGGTGGGCTGTGGGGTGGGCTGTGGGTGGTGGGCTGTGGGGTGGTGGCTGTGGGTGGTGGGCTGTGGGTGGGGGCTATGGGTGGTGGGCTGTGGGTGGTGGGCTGTGGGTGGTGGGCTGGTGGTGGGGGTGGGTGGTGGGCTGTGGGTTG